CCTCAGGGGGCCAAGAGGGCCCCAAAAGGCCCCCTGGACGGTCCAGGAGGGCTACAAGTCGCCGAAAGATCGCTCCACGACGCCCAATATTGCCTCCAGACGGCCCCAGAGGCTCCTAAGACGCACCAAGAAGCCACCAAGAGGCGTCCCAAGAGGCCCTCCAGAAGCAAAAACCGCCCCATTCTCATATATATATATATATATATATATATATTCCATTCATTCATTCATTCATTCATTCATTCATTCATTCATACTGCCTTAATACCGATTTGTTAACAACAAAATCTTGCTGGTACCGCAGAGCCTGGTGAGAGCAAGATAGAAACGCTCACCTGGGTTTCTTCTCCTTCAGGGAGCACAAGGCCTGGCAACCTCCGTGCCTTGCCCGACCGTGGGCAGACGGAGGTCGCCTGACGCGGGGGCGCCGGGCCTCTTGGAGGCTCGCCGCCCCTCAAAAAAACATCCGTGCGCACTGAGCTCAAATTCAGTGACGATTCAAACCAAGTCTGCGAAGCAGCGTTCTAAAACTGTCGGCTGAATTCTGGGGAGCCTGACTCTCCCTTGAAACGCAACCTGTCGTGTCCTTCGACGCTCTGTTCTGTCGAGCTGCTTCCGGCAGTGGCTGCTCAGACGAGAAGTCCCCAGGCGGACCAGCACCCCAAGACGCCCCGCGCGAATCGCTCTGCCTAGAAAGAGTGTGCAGCGAAGCTGGCTGACTCGCCAGCAAATTATGTGAGCTGGGTGCGAGTGATCTCTCCACCCTCGCATCAACAGTAGGCTCAGGGTGCGAAGTTGCTGCTGATGGGACTCCGTCCAAACGACGTCCGTCTCTAGCAGACTCTTGAACGGAAAATGCTGTCTGAGACATCTCATTCACAGTGTGGCCATCGACGGCAGGCGCAGACAAAACTAAAGCTGCTTGAGAAAATTCATCATTCGAAATGCTTTCCATAGAAATCTCAGCAGTGGCTGCATGTAACAATATTATCCTCATCATGTCCTGCGCATCTGATAGCTTGTTCGCCCCCCTGGTGCTGTCCCTGTCTGCCGTGCATCCCCCACTTGACAGAGCTCCTGCGCCTGCAGCCTGTCGATGTGTGGCCTTGCTTTGTTTGTGGCCGTGCCGATCTTCGATGGATGGTGTCTTGCGCTTTGGTCTGGGTCCTCCTCTGGCTTCTTTGCGTCCCTGCAGCTGTGCACCCACTCCTCCAGTTCGTCGGGCTTGCCTCCTTCCTCGAGCTCTCTGAACTTGGCCTTGGCCTTGAGCATTTTCTGCACCTCTTCGTCTTTTCGTGTCGTGTCCGTCTTGCTGAAGGCGAGAGAAGGTGGCGATCCGAAAGTGTGCTGCGCCCCCTTCTCTTCGACCGAGTGGTCGTGCCTCTGCCTCGTAGCGCTCATCTCCATGATGACAGGAAGGTCCTGTTGGCACCTGCAGCTCGAGTCCCCCGCCTCCAACTCTGTCATTCGTGCCCCCAGCTGCATGATGAGCTTGTGAACTTTGCGTCTCTGTTGTGGCGGTGGCTTTTGCTGCTCTGATGCCGTCGCCGTCCCTGAGCCATTGTGCTGTCCAGCGGTCGCTGTTGACAACCATTGAGACATCTAAAGATAATGAATGTTCGTCACTTAGTATGGGTCGCAAGTGTTCAGCAAGTAGGTGTGAATCAAGAGAATCAGGACAATCTGCTATATGGCTGCACAACGGGCATGAAACTTGTTTGTGTGCAACACGCTTATGAGACCTGAGGCTGCCGTCTGCGTAGCAACTGTTCTCGGTAAGGGCATGGGGCGCGTGGTGCTGGGCTGCCTCTCGATCAGCCAGCGTGCTGTTGCAAATTAATCAATAATTAGATAATGTAACCGCGTACGGAACACTGCGAGCCCCATGATTTTCGGACTGGGACCTGACATAGTGCATGACCATGGCTTGACGCGTCTTAAAAATCAAATCACAGGCAACACGCTTAAAGAGTCTCCCCCCCCCTCCTCAGGGTTCCCCAAACTCCACTCATCCCTGGGCGGTTCACCACCGAGGCCAGGCGGAGGGGGGGCCGCTATAGTTATCTCTCGCGCCCCCAACACATGGGGGCCGAGCGCCAGGAAATCTTCGCGCCAAGGTTCCTCGAATATTCTGCAAAAGATCCCCTCCAGGGCAGCGGCGAAACCAGCTCCCTCATCGCAGCGCTCAAGAGCATTCACGTCGTCCCTCAACTGCTTTAACCACGGGCTCGCCTTCGCCGTCGCTCGCCCTTCATGGATATCCACATGTTCCCTCTCGCGCTGCGCCCGTCCAAACAACGCAGCAATCACCTGTGCGTGCTCGCCCGGTCTCTTGACCAACGATTGTAGCCGCTTCGATCTCCTCGTGCGTAATTCGCAGAAAAGCGTGCCGATGCCTAGCTTTCGAAGAACCCCAAGGTTGCTGATGCTTTTGTACTTGCCCTCTGTCTTACTCGTGAACTTGCCTTTTAGTAGTACTCGTGCATAGCGAATGATCTTGCTTTGCAGAGGGTCGAGACATTTGATGGTGAGCGGGGTCCTCATGTTCAGAACGTATGCTTCTAGTCAACTAAGTGCCGCATTTACCACCTGCCCATTAAACGCTATGGCTCTGAATCTAAACGGTGTCCTCGAAGCCCAGAGTTTCCAATTGTTCCAAGCTTTCGCGATGGCTTGTAGTCTAGCTGCCTTTTCTTGATGAGACCCATTTTCGTAGCGATGCATTCCTCCTACGTATTTGGCTGAATTCTCCACCACTCCTTCTAGTAAGTGAGGCTGCTCATGAAAAGGCTCGGTTGGTAAGTCTTGCATTGTGCTTTGCTCCCTGCGCTAGATTAACTTGCTTCTCTCTGTTTTGTGCTCCTCCTAACTCCTCCAACCCCGCATCAAAAATACGATTCTCCCATCTGCCCAAGCTCGAGAAATGCGAGACCGTTGCTCTGATTTTTTTCTGCCAACATCATCCACAAAGCCAGTGGTGGCCAAATCTATGTTGTGATCCTGCTCCAGCCCAATCGGCATTGAAGCAACTTTCAACATGTGCTGCCACCTGTCCCTCTCCATACTGTCGATAGCCAACTGAACTCCATGTGAATGCGCCCGCGCAATTTTTTTTGTCGATGCGTGATCTCCTGGTAACGCTCCTTAATGATTTTGCGTGCGTGCTCCCAGCGTGCCATCTTGCACCAAGAACGTGCTGTTCATAATTCTCTGTTCTAAGAAGTGTGTCTTGTCCTCCTTGGCTAAGTCCGTAGCTGCTGCCACCAAGTGGTGCTTCTTGACGCAGAAAAAAGCGTTCGTCGCGTCGTGATATCTTGTTATGTGCGGTATACCTGCTCGTCTTAATCTGTGCGCGCCGCAGAACTGAATGATCATCGCATCCGCCCTCCTTCGATGTGCAATGCCTCCATGCGCCCAATGCCTGAAAGCCTGGCGCTTCTTCAGACAAGACTTGAAGAATGATCTTCCCGACCCACATAGCAGCATAATCGGTATCTCACCATTCGTTCCATTCCTTCCATTGTTTTTGGGCAGGCGAAACATGTTCGCTTGATGCCATGTCACCGGCGTGCGCTCTTCTCGTCGGATCGTGCGCATCAGCAGGCGCACCACTTTCTCAAAGTTAGGTGCCACCCATTCTTCTTCATCATGAGCTCCGGGCCCTCCATGTCTATCCTGCTTGTAAACCCACTTGGGATCAAACAGAACACTGAGAATGCCCCCTGGCACACTCGAACTTGGCCAGGTTCTCCAGGAAGGTAGAGTTTTGATTGCATGTCGGAGCTGTTTGATGTCAAAAAGCGTGCTCTCGTGCAGCTCCCGCTGGTCCCCGCGTGCAGCTGGATCTGTCTCTGGGTACTCCACTGTAATGTGCTTGAAGGTGGCCTCGACGTGTAGATGCTCACCGTCAAAAGGTCTCCTCCAGAGTCCAACCACTTGCATGGGATTCTTCGCAAACTTATCTATGGTGGCTGCCGCTCCTCCCTTCGTTCCACCAAGATGCATTCTTTCAATCCACTCTGCTGCCGTCGTTCTTGTGGTCGCCACTCGATTGTGTACTCTTCCCTTTGGCCCCCTGCACGCGCCAGCAATGAGACGGGGCAATTTGTGTGCTTCGTGAAATTTTCGCTGTCTCCAGGCCTCCGCCAAAGCTTCTATCCTTATATCATTGCGCTCGTTTATCATATGCCTCTTATTGTTGAGACTGCGACTCAAAAGGCAAACCTCAAGATTGATGTCCTCTGGCACCTCGAACTCTCTCTGCTTTGCCTCTCTGCGTTGAAGTAGTAACTGCGAAAGCTTCTTGCTCTTGGTGATCCTCAGCTCGTTGTTCTCCTCGTATCCAGGCTTCGAGCTGAGCGTTTCCGCCGTGCAATCTCCCACCAGCTGCATCGTGCCTGCGTTGATGGCGTCCACATTCCCCTCGTATTCCCAGCTTTCGAACTCCATCATGTGCTCTTGGAGTCTCCTCTCGGTATTCTGCAGCAGCTGCGTTCTCTTGTGACCGTGCAACAGCGCCGCGTTGCACGCCTCCATGCTGGCTGGCTCTTGGGAGCTGAAGCGGTCTGGTCCATTGAAAGGTGTGCCATAATGAAACACAGACTGGAAGGTGGCCCTTAATCTTCTGTGATCTTATGTGCTGCAATCGACGTCATTTCATCATTGAGACGTGGCAATCTGCAACGTTGCCCAGAGCACCGCGTGGTATTGCCACATAGTCCAGTCTTTCCTGACTCCATCCCTGATGCCAAAATATGTTGGTCCTGCTCGACTGGAGGTATTGACTAACATCAAATCGTGAGCTCTAAGTACTGGTCTGAAACACACGAAGTTCGGGCCGTCCACCTCTGGGTCTTCCTCGCCACAAACAGGTCGTAGCCCTTGCTGCTTGCCACATGTGCTGTCGGGAACCATGCCAAGCACTGGAACCCACCTCGCTGGTAAGGCATCCATCTGCTGTTGAACCCAGTCGCCAACTGCTTGACAAACTCCTCTCTGATGCCGAACCGCTCCCTCCCCTGTGCCTCGTGGAGGGAAGTACAGGCTGAAGAAAGCCATGTCTTGCCGTCCTCTGCGAAACCTGAGCATCATTGTTCTTCCCTGCGGCACACCTTGTCCTGCGTTGACTTGTGCCACAAATTCTGGGGGGGGGCCTTTTTTTGTGTAGTCCAACAGCGACCCCACACGCTCGATTTGATTCTTCTCCATGTCCAGAATGCCAAAACACATGTTGCTGTGTGTGAAGTAGCAGAACTGGGTTTGGCCTGTGCGCCCGAAACTGAGTGCCCTGCAGTATGATCGTGTCCGCGCACTTGTATTCTCCAGCTGTGTCCTGTATCCTCGCTACTGCTGCCAGTGTGAGTGGGGAATGAGACACGAAGCGCAGCAGTCTCCAGCCGCCGCTGCCCCCATGGTTCATCTCCCTCGCTGTCACACTCGCGAACAACAGAAGGGTGGAGCTGGAGAGTGTGGGCTCCTGGGTCGCCTGGAGTGGGTCTGGGCCGCGGCGGCGACTATATATATATATATATATATATAATATATATATATATATATATATTTATATGTACATATATATACACATATAACATATTCGCCTCTTGGGCTTCCACGAGGCCCGCAACGGCCCAAGAAGCCTTCAATACCGACCCAAGATAGCCCAAGAGGCCCCCAAGAGGGCTCCAAGACGGCCCCAGAAGCCTTCCAAACGGACCAGGAGGGCCCCAGGACGGCCCCAAGAGGAGACCCAGAGGGGGAACTCGAGTGAACATTTCGAGCACTCGGCCCCGAAAACATCTGAGGAGGCGCCAAGAGGCCCCCAAGAGGGCTCTCAAGGCCCCCGAGAGGCCCCTAGAGGCCTTAACACGACCCCCAAGAGTCATCAAAAAGGCTGCCAGGAGAGTTCAAATAAGCCCAAGAACAGAACCGCGATCCACCAACGGCCCCCGACGAAATCCCAAGAAACAGAAACCCCAAGATTCCCCAGAAATCGCGCGCGGTCCGCAAACTCAGTTTTTCACTGTTGCTGCCGCCCCAAGGGGTAGGCGGTGCGGCGTCAGCCAATGAATCAGATCTGGCGCGAGCGCACACAGCTTGCACCCTTCATAATGGAATGACATTGACGAAATCAGAAAAAAACGAAACATTATTGGTTCAGCCTGAACCAAACTACGGCACAGCAGGCAGAACCTGTGCTCTAGCCTTGGGCGCGGTGGGCGCCACCGAACCAATGGCTGTAGATGACGGGCTGTTCACATGATGCACCTCCTCCTTTTCGAACGCCTCCTCCTCCCCCTCCCCTCTTTCCTCTGCCTCCTCCTCCTCCTCGAACGCCTCCTCCTCCCCCTCCCCTCTCCTCCCCCTCCTCCTCCTCCTCCTCCTCCTCCTCCTCCTCCTCCTCCTCCTCCTCCTCCCCTCTCTTCCTCCTCCTCCTCCTCCTCCTCTTCCTCCTCCTCCTCCTCCTCCTCAACAATTACCCAATATGAATACTACACTCCCCTTGCCCCTGATGACGTGCTGGGAGTGTTCGCCCCCCCCGCGTCCTGTTTTTTTACACACAGGTTTCCGGGGGGTTGGGTTTTCGCTCGCTTTTTTTCAAAATGCTGCTCTCGCTGAGGCGCCGGCTTCATTTTCGGGCCCCGCTCGCTCCGAATCGTGCTCCCGCTGCAGCGCTGGCCTCATTTCCGCGCTTCCGCTCGTTCCGAATCGTGCTCCCGCTGCAGCGCTGGCCTCATTTCCGCGCTTCCGCTCGTTTCGACTCGTGCTCCCGCTGCAGCGCTGGCGTCATTTCCCGTGCCATGCCACGGCGTGCAATGCAATGCTAGGTTGAAACTACGCTTTGCGGTGCTCTTCTACGCCATGCCATGCCGTGCTCTACAATGCATCGCGTACCCTTTCGGGATCATTGCCCTGCTCGACATCCGACTGTGCGAGTAGAGAGGGGATCTGCGCCATTGTAAGGGATGGGAGGGAGGGGTAGGATGTCAGATATGACGCGAGCGCACCAAACTTGTCCTCCTCCTCCTCCTCCTCCTCCTCCTCCGCCACACCTCGAACGCCTCGCACCGTCCAAAGCTTAAGACTCGAACCTCGAACCCTTCTCGTCTGCCTCAAAAAGGAGGGCCTCGGCTGCGGATGGGGGGAAGGGAAGCGTCTCCTGCTCCCCCTTTTTTTGCTCGTCCTTCTCTCCCTCCTCCTCCTCCTCCTCCTCCTCCTCCTCCTGCTCCTCCTCCTCCTCCTGCTGCCGCTCCTCCTTTGTCACCTTCTGTTCCTGGTCCTTCTCCCGCCCCTGCTCCGTCTCCGTCCTCTCTCCTCCTCGTCGTCCCCCTCCCCATCGCACTATCACGTCTTCATGCCTGCAGCTCATCTTGATACCCTTCGCCCTTCTCCTCCCCCCGCCTCTCCTCTTCCATCCTTGTTATTTTACGTGTCCTTTTCCTCCTCCTCCTCCTCCTCCTCCTCCCTCCTCCCTTCTCCTCCTCCTCCTCCTCCTCCTCCTCCTCCTCCTCCTCCTCCTCCTCTATCGCATGCACCAGTGTGTGTCGATGCGACGAGGGAGGACGGCAGAGCATCGCGGGGCGGAGGCCTCGCACAGGCACGAGTGCCGGCACGGCCGCAGCTGCGTGTCGACTCTTTCGGCCAAACAGACGACGCACGTGCGCTCGCCGCGCTCGGGGTCCTCCTGCCGGGCCGGGGCGGCGCCGCCGCCGCCGCGGGGCCGCTGCTCGGGGCAGCTCCCGGCCCCCCCGCCCTGGCCAGGCCCTCGGCGGTTCTGCTGCTGCTGCTGCTCCTCGTCCTCGCTCCCCTCCTCCCTCCCCTTCCTCGCCGCCCTCCTCCGGCATCCGCCCTCCTCCCTCTCTCCTCCCTCTCTCCTCCCTCTCTCCTCCTCCTCCTCTCCTCCTCCTCCTCCTCCTCCTCCTCCTCCTCCTCCTCCTCCTCCTCCTCCTCCTCCTCCTCCTCCTCCTCCTCCTCCTCCTCCTCGTGCCACCACCCTCCCCCGCGCTCTCCGCCTCCTCTTGATCCTTCCGTTTCCATTTCTCGTGCGTCGCTGTCTGCGGGCTTCGGAATCCAGGGTCTGGAGAACGGTGGAACTCCAATCAAGGCTTGGCCATGAACATCACTGCCGCCCACATCAGATAAGGAATCCTCCAGGGTCTGCAGCCTCCTGGGCGCATTCCTTAACCAACGCCCCCACCGTAGGAGGAGGAGGAGGAGGAGGGGGAGGGGAGGAGGAGGAGGAGGAGGAGGAGGAGGAGGGGAGGAGGAGGAGGAGGAGCAGGAGGAGTAGGAGGAGGAGGAGGATGACGAAGAGACGGAGGCGGAGGAGGAGGAGGATGAGATGGAGACGGGGGCGGAAGAGGAGGATGAGGAGGAGGAGGAGGAGGAGGAGGAGGAGGAGAGTAAGCACACCGCCAAACGAACCCTTTACCGAACGCGCCTTCGGGCTGAACCGACCAGGGCAGGGCTGCTCAGCACACGCCCGGGACTGCTCGGCAAGCGCACACCACGGGGGTCGGGCGGTTCACTCCTCCCTTGAAGGTTGTCCGCGTGACCTGGAATCGGCGATACATCATGCCCCTCACCTCCTCCTCCTCCTCCTCCTCCTCCTCCTCCTTCCTCCTCCTCCTCCCCTCCCCCTCCTCCTCCTCCTCCTCCTCCTCCTCCTCCTCCTCCTCCTCCTCCTCCTCCTCCTCCTCCTCCTCCCTTCCTTCCCCTCATGCCCCTGCCGGCACGCTCGTGCCACTGGAATCGGCGATACATCGCCGATACATCGGCGATCGGCCTCCGATCGGGCGCCCGAACGTTCCTGGGCGGGGGTGGGAAACGGGGCCCCTGCCCGCAATGGGTGGACGATCGGGGGCCGATGCATCCCCCGTTATGCCCATCCCCTCCATAATTGCCCCTGACTGGCCACACACTCGTGCCACTGTGGCAGATGGCGGCGACGACGCCCTCGCCCGCCGAAGGCTCTCCAGGGCCGCGGGCCCGTCGTCCATCTCCCGGATGACCCCGATGGGCGCCACGTCGACGCAGGGGCGACACTGAGGCTGGAGAGATCTGCCTGCGCTTGCAGGAGGCAGTGAAGCAACGCCAACAGCAGCTCACACGGGAGGATCAGAGCGCGAAGCCGAACCATTGCCGTGGGTATGTTTGAACCTGTGCGCAGATTTCCTGGTAGTGGCATCTACGGCGCCAGGCCGCACGCCGAACAGGCTCAGGATCCCGACAAGGTGCTGCTGATATCTGGCACTGTCTGCAAGCTGGCCGCTGCGTTGCTCTTCCAGTGGCCAAGGCTCGATTTGAAAGACGTCGAGCTGGTTGCACCTGTGGGGCGGGCCCGCCAAGGGCACCCTGACTGCCCTCAGCACATGTGAGAATTCAAAGCCAATCGTTGGCGATGCAGCATCTGTCTCAAAGCCTCTCGGTCTCAGTTCCGCCCCCCGACTGGTGGTTGCTCGGGTATCCGCGGGGACTGGGACTTTGGGGAGATGGAAAGACACGGCCATTTTGTGGTCGGCCTGCCTTGTGATAATGGCGAGGTGCTGCACATTTGCACGCGGTGCGCTGCTTTATGTTGGTCCTGGATCTCTCAAGCAATCCAACCTCAGTGGCAAGTGTGACCAAAAGATGACGGCTCATAAGAAGTGTCTCTGGCGCCGCGTGCTTCGTGGGCCCTACCCCAGCTACACTTCGAAACTGAAAATTGACCCCGATGGAGTTCCAGACCTCACCGTGTGTGGCGGACTCAAACCACGATCTGAATCACTACAGTCACGCCTTGCTGGTGTCAGCGGTCGCCAGTTCTAGCGAGTCCTGCCACACACATTCTCTCCGATGTAGAGCATGTTGTGGCGCTGCAACCCCAGGGCCGGGCCCTTCGGGCAGCCCACCTCGGGCGGCCCTCTCGGCGGCCCTCGGCGGCCTTCGGGCGGGCCCGGGCAGCGACCACGGAGGGCGGCGGCGGCGGCGGACTGGAGGGAATCGGGAGCGTCGTCGTCGTCGTCGTCGTCGTCGTGTTGATGTCAAAAACCAGGCCGCACGCGCGGGTTGAGCGACACTCCGTGGGCGTGACTTGGCCCAGGTGGGCCCCGTTGCCGCGGCCGTCGATGGCCCCCCTCCTGAGATCCGACGTCGCGGAAAATCACGACCAGAGCCCAGAAAAATCAAAACATACTCCAAACATAGTCCCCAGACAATTGTCGGATGATCTTCTGATCATTTCTGGAGCACGTGCTATCTTTCGTAGAAAACCCCCCTGTAGGGGGACAGGCCCGACTTAAGACCAGAGCCCCAGACCCCGTCTCCTCTCTGCGGCACCTGTTTTCAGACCGCCGGATCGCCCCGTGAGGGCCCCGGGGCCCGAGAGACTGGGCGACGCGGCCCAGCGTGAAACCACTGCGACGCCCAGGTCTTGGGGGAGGCAGAGCGTCACGAGGGGAGGCTGCCGCTGGCTTTAAGTCGGGCCCGTCCCCCTACAGGGGGATGTTCGACGCGAAAAAAAAATACCCCCCCAAAATGGTCCAAAAGTGTCCAAAGATGGTCTGGGGACCATGCTCGGAGTAGTTTTTCGACCATTTGAACGCATTTTCGGGGTATGTTTGACTTTTCGCCGAAATCCCCCTGTAGGGGGACAGGCCCGACCTAGTTATGTCGGGCGTGTCCCCCTACAGGGTTTTTTTTCGACGAGAAATGAAAAATACCCCCCAAAATATCCCCAAAAAGGTCAAACAATGCTCCAAAAATAAGCTATTCTTGGGCTATTTCTTAAGCATTTTTGGCGTATGTTTGATTCCTCGTCGAGAGTCCCCCTGTAGGGGTACAGGCCCGACCTAACGCTGGCTCCGCCGGCCGAGCCCAGCCTCTGGCCCGTCGCCTTCCTCGAGGGTCCTCGGGGTGCTTCATGCCTCCAGTGCGTCGAGGGGGTTCGTCCGCCTCCAGACCCGGCCTCGCCGGCGTTGAGCGCCATCCCAATGGAATTAAATCGGGCCTGTCCCCCTACAGGGGGATTTTCGACGAAACATAGAAAATACCAACAAAAATCCAAAAATAATCCAAACATAGTCTGGGGACTCTTTTTGGAATGTTTTCTGACCTTTTTGGAATATTTTTGGTGTAGTTTTCATGTTTCGTCGAAAATCCCCCTGTAGGGGGACACGCCCGACATAACAATACCTCCAATGCGTCGAGGGGTTCGTCCACCTCCAGACCCGGCCTCGCCGGCGTGGAGCGCCATCCCAACGGAAGGCATCTCTGGGGCCGCCAGCGGGTCGGGGGCAGGCGACACCTGAGATCCCGGCGTCTCGATTCCCAACCATCCTGTGGTGTTGGGTCTTCGTCTTGAACCAGCGTCACCCCGCGTTCCTCACTCCTCCTCCTGCTCCTCCTCCTCTTCCTCCTCCTCCTCCTCCTCCTCCTCCCTCCTCCCCCCCTCAGCTTTGCTCCTATCACTGCATCTGTCCGCCGCATGCACCCATCATCACCACCACCATCACCACCGTCAACATCACCACCACCTTCACCTTCACCATCACCCTCATCACCATAATCATCACGATCACCATCACCATCACCAATACCACCACCATCATCATCATCATCAACATCATCAGCATCAACACCATAACCATATTCAGAATCAGCATCCCATCATCTCCATCTTCATCTCCATCTTCATCATCATCGTCATCACCATGATGATGATGATGATGATCATCATCATCACCATCATCATCATCACCATCACCATCATCATCATCATCATCATCATCATCATCATCATCATCATCGTCATCACCAACATCGTCATCATCATGATCATCGCCATCGTCTTCGTCGTTATCATCCCACTCATCATACCCGTCATCAATCGCACGTCGCGGTACCCCTTACACGCCTCGTGACCGCAAGGGCAGGCGGCCGTCTCGGATCCTCTTCAAGGCACTTACAACTGTGGTCCTCATGCACCGAGGACAAATCTGGCCGAGCAAGTGGCACCTGCGGCTATTATATCCACCGCACCTGGTGCAAACAACTCAACGGTTCGGAAAAGAGGAGGACCAGTGTAAACCCAAGAGCCATCAACGATGTTGGAATACACCCTCCCTCCAAACTCCCTCTTCATAGCCCCCTACAACGGTTCATTTCCATTGAGGGATCTGCCTCGTTGGAAGACAACCGCTTGAAGACCCGGAAGCATGCCAAAACATTGTTCTCGGGATTCCAACGCCACGGATCAACCTGACCGTTGCGTCTTGACGATCCCGGATCGTGCCAGAACGCCATTCTTGGGATTTCAACACCGCGCATCAACGAAACTGTTGCACCCGCAAAATCCTCAATCCGTGAAGGTCTTGCATAAGTTTCAAAAGAATGCACGCGGCGCTAAGGCGAGAACCACATTTGGGAAACGGGTGATCCTCAATCCGAGAAGTTCTTGCGAATTTTTAGAACGAATGTGCGCGGCACTAAGGCGAGAGCCACATTTTGAAAACCACCCGCACTTCATCTATGAAACCGTTGCCAATTTTTGCTTAAGCTTCAGGACCATTAGTGGTGAGGAAATCTTAGGCGAAACGCCTGGCCCGCCCTAAGAACTGGCCTCGGGGTGCGGCAAGTATACATTACTTATAAGGAAACGGAATGGAGGAGGAGGCGGAGGGGCAGGCGGAGACGGACAAGGAGGAGGGGGAGGAGGAGGAGGACAAGAAGGAGGAGGAGGAGGAGAAAGAAGAGGAGGAAGAGTAGGAGGAGGAGGAGGAAGAGGAGAAGGAGGAGCAGGAGGAAGTGAAGGAGGAGGAGGAGGACAAGGAGGAGGAGGAGGAGGGGTAGGAGGAGGAGGAAGTCAACGACGACGTCGGCAACGACGATGGCGACGGCGGCCACGAGGTTCCGCCACGGGCGGCGCCGGGCGTCCTGCATGACGCCCGCGACCTCGAAGCAGCCCGCCGCTTCCCACGCCGTCGGGCGCCCTGGCGACGGGGAGGCTGTGCTCGCCGAGCGGGACGGATGGGCGCGGGCAGGGGGAGAGGATGGCGCGCATGCGGACAACAACAATACAAATACACTCTCCCTGCTTCGATATAATTTGAAAACCTCATCTTCTTCCGCGCGCCGCGTGAGTGCATGCGCGTGGCTGCGTGCGCGCAGACGAACATATGCAAGCTCGTTGTGACTCGCCCACCAGGCCTGAGCCGGATTCCGCGGACCCAAGCCGCCCCCGCCCCCGGCGGCGACGGTCTATATCGGCACTCGTTGTTTACTGGGGTGGAGTGTATACACCAATCTGGCGTGATTGGTGTATACACTTTTCGGTGTATGCACATCGTCGTGTCCTGATGGGGTTTGGGGTACACGCCAATGTTGCCTCCTCCAGAGTGCCCTGGCATCGTCGGCGGGACGGGGACCCGCTGGGGCCCGCAGAATTGGCTGGCCCTCCTCGAAGAGAGCCTGCGCCGTCGTCATTGGGACTACGCCATTGCAGCTGCTAAATAGATTCCTGCGATACCCAGCTTTCAGGGCCTCCGGCGGCCAGAAAAAAGTATTCATTATATGTGTTGCGCTCCGCACTGGACCAGGCTTGGATAGGCCTCGCTCCAACGTGGTACGGTGCATAACGTTTCGGCTCTGGGGGCAGGGGAATCTTTGCACCGTGCCGCTCCTCGGTCCAAGATCGACGACGCCTCGGGAGACGCCAACGCCGTGCGGTGCGAGGGGGGAAGAGGAGGATGAGGAGGAGGAGGAGGAGGAAGAGGAGGAGGAGGAGTAGGAGGAGAAGTAGGAGAAGGAGAAGGAGAGGGAGGATGAGGAGGATGAGGAGGATGAGGATGAGGAGGATGAGGAGGATGAGGAGGATGAGGAGGAGGAGGAGGAGGAGGAGGAGGAGGAGGAGGAGGAGGTGGAGGTGGAGGTGGAGGAGAAGGAGGATGGGGAGCGAGCGAGCGAGCGAATCTCGGGGAATCCACCATGCTCCTGCCACTCACGTGCCACTAAGCCGAACTGGATTCTGAGACGGGACGTTGCATCCAAACGCGGAGGAAAATATCAAAAAGTTCTCGTGCCTCGCCTGCGCTCCCCATCAGGGCACAGGCCCGCGAGCAACCCCCCTGGGGGAAGCGACCCTACGGGAGGCGCCCACCCAGGCACGAGGTGCGCCTCTCCCTCCACGGCGCCCGCGACCCCGACGTCTGCCTTGAGAGCCTTGGCCGTGGCCAGGTAAATGGATTAGCGGACGGACGGGTAGACTAGCATCCTCATAGCTGTGAATGTCCCAAGAGCCCGAGCGAGCCCTCGCCGCCATCTCCGAGCTGATGCTACCTCGAGCCTCCAACTCTGCTAAACGAACCGAGCTGCTAAAAAATTGCACCCGCCTAAGGTCGCGACCTCCTTCTCGCGAGCGCAGGGCGGGGGAGGAGGGGGAGGAGGGGGAGGCGGAGGAGGAGGAGGAGGAGGAGGAGGAGGAGGAGGAGGAGGAGGAGGAGGAGGAGGAGGAGGAGGAGGAGGAGGAGGAGGGACGAGAGGGGAATCGTAAATGGTAGGATTCTGCTTCCGCTCCCGCTCCCGCCTCTGGCCTCTTCCCTCTGAATCCCGCCCTCCCCCCCCGCGTCCCCCCCTGCCCCCTCTTCGGAAGCCCCGCCAGAAACCAGCTGGTCCTCCTCGGAACCCCGCCCTCCCCCCCCGCCCCTCCCTGTCCACTTCTCCGCCTCCAGTCAGCCCGTATAAAAGGACTCGCGACAAGGACGCGAGGGCCTTGGAAGGCCATTTCTAAGCTCTCCGAGCGGGGCGCGGCCAACGAAAGCGGCCAAGGATGGGTCGAGGAGGCAAGGATGCAAGGGTACCCTTGGGATGGTTGCCCCTCCTTACTGTGCGGGTTGACTGTGCCTGCTGCAACCCACCCCACCCCACCCCAGGCCCGCCTGGCGGCGGGGACGCCGCTGGCACGACTTCATGCAGCGGGCCCACGCAGAGCATGCTGGTCACCATCTGGGCGGCGCCCTCGAGCGC